TAGTTAAAAGAAAATATGGAACTGAACGTCACATTGTTGCTAAGTATTATAGTATGAAGATGCTAGAGGCTAAGTGGAAACTCGTTTTGAATTGTAATTTGCTAGGTACATAGGTGTGTAACCGAAAAACAAACTGTAAAAGGTAGTGTAAGAATTGTAGTCAAAGGGAATATTGTATAGTAAGTGGTATAAGTAACGTATTGTAAATGGCATTGTAAGTAGTGTCTGTCTTGCTTTGTGAGTAGTGTTCTTCGTGTTGTAATAAAAAAAAAATTAAAAATTAAAATTGCATAATATTGTGGTAAATAGTCCCCTCCAATTGGGGAAATTACAAAAAAATTCATCGATGGGAAAAAAATGATATGGCTGAACGGTGCATGAAGCCCGTTATTTGATGATGCAGATTTTGGCCTTGAAAGTAACGACTCAATCGGCGTTTTGAGTCGATGTCGTTGAAATTTTTCAAGTGTTACGTTAAAAACCCTTGCTCCCAACTACCGCAAAATGTACCTTGAACCGATGAGATGACGCGCGTGATGAGTGCCAGTACAGGTATAAATGGGGTAAGATTGGCTCATAATATCTCTTAAACAAGCACGGTGACCTTTCTTTCTTATTGTATTTCTCGAAACAAACTTTGGCAATGAACATTTAAGGAAAGTTTAAAAACAAAATGTCGATAACTTTTTTTTCTGAGAAATCACCTTAAGCAGAAAACCCGCGAAAAATCACTGTTGCCTCGAAATTCGAAAGGTACCAGTCAGTGTTAACGAAATAAAGCAATCGTAGATCTAAAATAGTCCACTGTTTATTTTTTCACCTATTACTTTCTTACCAGAGTAGCCCACCATAAATGCGTATTTTTTTAGAGTTCCGAACGCTTGCAGGCGGTAATAAGTGCTCTTAAAATCTCTGTAATTAAATTGAGCGTCCTTTAAGTCTAAGAATATAAAATATATTCCTTTTAATAATAAAAATTAAAGAGCGGTTAACTGTGAAAATTAAAGCAATAAAAAGCGAATCGCGCGTCAAGTTCAAAAGTCCAAAAATCTCAAGGAGTTGATACAATGTTTCCAAACAAACTGGACACAAAATAGGAAGAAATACCCTCCAAAATAAACCTTTAAACTCGTACACCTTTGGGGTGTCCCCACTTAACCTTTTCTTAAGTAGTTTTCAACCACTGCTTGGTGAGCCTGTGCCAGCTTCTCATCCTCTAGAAACTTCTTTTCAACTGTGCGAAGGCGCTTCACTGCTATCTGTCGGTTTCGCTGTAATTCTGGTCTTTCATGTTTCCAAGTTAAAGCAACTTCAAATCTCTCACCATCTAACCTGATCGACTCGCTCACTCTATTAAAGGCTATATTCTCTTCGTGGGAAAGTGGTGGCTCCACCTGCAGGGAGATTCCAATAGCCTCAAGGCTCCAAAATTGTTCCAGAAAATAGTTCAGATCTCCATTATTACACACTGACCGCTACATGCGATAAGTGTTCAGTTAACCAGTGTTACTTGTTCCATGCCCCTCAGACACGCCAATGGTAACAATTGCTGTCGACCCCAATGGACACAGTCTGGCACTAGGTTCTTTGTCTTATCCACGAACCTCTTTCATTGGAAACAGTAGGTTGTAATAATCAGAGCGAATACGAACAGCGATTTTGCTCCTTTTTTCGAGTTTAGGAAAACGAACGTCCCTTAGCTGATTCCACTGGTCTTTGATCTGAAGCCAGCTGATTGGTTTCATCCCTCCACAAATAATGTTTGATGTCTTCGCTACAATGATCGTATCTACCCGACCATCTAACCTCTCTAATCCAATCTCTGGTAGCTGACATGAGATCAACTTTCTGACCATTAGCAACATTGATGACCACTTTCTCCTTCCGACCTTCCATCCCTAGCTACTCCACCACATCTTCATTAACACAGGAGGACGCCTTCATCCAAAAAACAGTTGACCTGCAAACGTCTGTCCCCATGTTTCTGAATGACTGGAACAGTATATAATGCAATACTCCTTTGTTCATTTCCTTGTATTGTTTCATTTGTAGGGACTTGTTTTCCTCTTTGCTAGATGTGTCTGCCTTCCCCTTCATGGAACCAGGAGTTAAACTCTCGTCATGAAGTAACCGGCGGTGGCGGTCTTTGCAACCAGTAATTCCACACTCTCTGTTCCAAACACATGAGTCACCCAGGTGCCCTTTCCCTAAGCAACGGTAGCACAGTCCACGTTTCTTCGCCATCTCCCACTTTTTTTCATGTTCCATTCCCTTGAGCACATCACATTTTTACCAATTCCGGACAATTCTGTGTACCAAGCCCTTTTGAGAAGTTGACACAGCGACCACTCTTATTGCAACGGTATAATCAACGTAACAGTTCTAGAAATGAGAGCTCGTCATTCATATTCATCGACCTTAATCAGTTTTATGGTCGAGTTCCCTATCCAGACAACTGTTTTGTACATATGCTATTCAGGAAAGAAACACATTCAAGCGCTAGGTATTCCTTTCTTCAACTGAAAAGAAGAAATCAAACTTGCCCAACTTCAGTTGGCAGGATTTGCAAAACCAGATGCGATTTTTGGGTTTTTTCGGTGGAGAAGTGTAGTTAAAATGAGACCAAAGTAGGCATCTGTCACAGGCAATGCTGTCCTCGCATTCGTCATTTATTACCTTGGAACAGACAGCACAGCACCATCCTATTTCTTCCTTCTTTCGAATTAAATCGAGAACTTCCAACCATGCTTCTTTGCGCACGATAAGTATCCATACTTTCCTTGTCTTGAATGGTGTTAGATATTCCATGCAGGCTTTTGATATCACCACCACTTAGGGTTCTCTTTCTCGTTGAAGCCTCGGAAGTAGCCAAATCACGTGCAAGGGATCTCAGATTAGTGGTTTCCTTCTCCACGAGGTGTTAACTAAGAGAAAGGCTTAATGCTGTCATCTTTTCTTTCTTTTCCTTTTGGATTCGAAAGACCCATTGCAATCACTTCTGCTCCTTTAGGTCGACCTCGTCTAAGCATTTTCGGTGGCATTTTAATGTTTTAGATGAGCGTCTCTTTTTCTTCTAGTGTTTCATTCCACTAATTTATTCGTGTTTTTCTCGTTGCCATGTTCCCACCAATCACGTAGCTCCATTTTCTACCTTTAAAAGCACACACAACCGACAATTTCTCTATTCGCTCCGACGAAGGGCTAACGCTCGAAACGTCAGCTTTTATAACCGTTAACAATGGCCAATTTGCCATTTCAACTTTGTTAATAGTTTCAAATTATTATATCTTTGCCAGCCATTCTGACTCTTCGTCGTCCGAAATATGATTCAAATTGTCCGCCATTTTTTTTTGTAAGTATAATCCAATTCTTCGCTTGCGCAATGCGAGAAAACCTGTTTAACAGGTACTCTAGAGTACAAATACCGCGTGAAATTTGTACTCGTCTATGGCGTTATTTGTACTCTACGAAGTTTAGTTGGATAATAACTCGTTCTTATTAACCGAGCGGGAGGTCTGTATGGGAGAATCTTGACCGAGGTCGCCAGTACAGACCGAACGCAGTGAGGTCTGTGCCAGCGACCGAGGTCAAAAAGAGCGGTTAACTGTGAAAATTAAAGCA